CCACACTGAGCTTTGGATCCGGTCCAAAAAAAATAGCTTCTTAAAAAAAAAAAAAAAATCCCCCCCTCCTTACCATTAAATATGTGAAACACTCATCCCTTTCATATAGGGTGACCAGATGTCCCGATTTTATAGGGACAGTCCTGATTTTGGGGTCTTTTTCTTATATAGGATCCTATTGTCCCCCACCCCCTGTCCCACACTTGCTGTCTGGTCATCCTACTTTAGTAAAGCATGACAACAGGTTTATCCATTAGAACTAAAATACAGTAACTCCTCACTTAAAGTCATTCCGGTTAACGCTGTTTCGTTGTTACGTTGCTGATCAATTAGGGAACATGCTCATTTAAAGTTGTGCAATGCTCCACTCTTACGTTGTTTGGCTGCCTGCTTTCTCTGCAGCTGGCAGCCTCCCCACGTTTCCCCCCCGCCCCCCATCCCCACAGCGCCTCCCGCCCTCCGACAGACCCCGCGGATCAGCACCTTCCCTCTCCTTCCCCCGCCTCCTGCCCGCGGCAATCAGCTGGCTTACGGCGTTTAGGAGGCAGGAGGGAGGGGGGAGGAGCGAGAACTCGGCGCGCAGGCTCCCCCTCCCCCTAAACGCTGCAAGCCAGCTGATTACCCCGGGCAGGAGGCGGGGGGGGGGGGGGGAGCGAGGACTTGGCATTCCTCCCCCCTCCTTCCCCTGCCTCCTGCCCACGGCAATCAGCTGGCTTGCAGCATTCAGAAGGGAGCGGGGAGGAGCGAGGATGCAGCGTGCGAAGTAAAGGGGGAGGAGATGGGGGGGAGAAGAGGCGGGTCAAGGGTGGGGGCTTGGGGGAAGGGGTGGAGTGGATGGGCCGAGGGTTGAGCCCCCTGCCCCCGGCAAAGTCAGTGCCTGTGCTTGCAAGAACAGCAAGAGGAGCAGCCGGACAATCCATCCTCTTCCACTCTCTGACTCCACCACCTCAACCAAGCTTCATACTCTGCAGTGATGATTGTAGTATTAAATTGTTTCTTTAAAATTGTTTAAAACTTATACCTGTATTAAATTGCTTGTTTGAAATTGTTTAAAATGTATATAATGCCTTTTGTCTGGCAAAAAAAAAAATCCCTGGAACCTAAGTCCCCCCCATTTACATTAATTCTTATGGGGAAATTGGATTTGCTTAACATCGTTTCACTTAAAGTCGCATTTTTCAGGAACATAACTACAACGTTAAGTGAGGAGTTACTGTATCTAGACACAGTTTGTACATTAAGCAAACCTATATGTGAACTTTTAATTAGCACAACACACCTGAATGGGCACAGTTGCAGATATTGCCTGGATCTTATTTAAAGCACCCCACAGCTAAATAAATAGTGGGGCATAGATGCTAAAAGTAAGGGGTTCTGGGGGTGATGCTGCACTCCTTGGTTTGAAGTGGTTTCCATCACATACAGGTTTTACAGTTCAGTTCAATGGCTCTCTAGCACCCCCACTATAAAAACTGTTCCAGCACCCCAGAACTTGGGCTCTACCCTGAGCCCAAACGCCTACATGGCAATTTTTAGCCCTGCAGCCCAAGCCCCGTGATCCTGAGTCAGCTGACCTGGGCCAGCTGTGGCCATGCTGCTGGTCTTTTTTTTCCAGTTTAGACATACCCTTAATGTCCGGTTCAGTAAGTCAAACTCCCTTAGGGCTTTCAAATCCCAAAGAAGAGGGGAAGGGGAGATCCCAATCCCTGCTGCTAGAGCAGCCTTCACAAAGCCATTGCCAGTCCTGGCACAGCTCTCAGCCTTGCTTCCTGGTGCCACATACTTCTCTTTGCCTACCAGAGTCCTTTAAACTGTTCCTCCACTGGGAACATACCATGAGCCTGTTGAGAAGAAGGGCCCCCAGCCCAGTATTGCTCTACTTTCCACCCTAGTTCAGTGTGGGGCCTGTATACCCTGTCGCATGACCCAACAATCCTGACATTCCTCCTTATTCACACCAACCATCCAAGTACCACACAGCTACTTGAAAAACCACTCTCGAAATATAATGGATAAAAACTGAAACCTACAGTATTTCTTAATATTTCAAACTGGGAAAATAGAAATCAGTAAATCTGGCAGAGTTGGAGGGAATTGCATGCACATGCCTATCTCGCTGTCTAAAATCCCCTGTTCTAGCACTCTCTCTGATAAAAGATTATGGCGCCAATTGACTCCCATTTACTTAAACACAATCATAATCATTATGATTACGCCTCCATATGATATCCAAAATGCTTGCTATGATGGTATTATAAGGGGGGGGGGGGAATTCCCCCCCATGCCATTTACATTTTATTGATGCTAACTGGTTATTATCTTTTGATGCTCAGCTGTGCATTATGTGAAAGCAGCACAAATAAAGACAAATCAGTTTTGAACAGGGGAAAGGTTTTCTCTAAAGCATCCCAGCATGAAAATGGCTGCTAGGAGAAGACAACAGCTTTCAATTTGTAATTTTGCCAAAAATCAGATTAAACTTCAGAAAAAAAAGTGCTCTCCTCCTAAACACAACATGGATTAAATGATTCTGTGGGGAGAGATAAGTTGAAGCTTACACACAACACATTTGTTTGTAGAGTTTCTTCTGAGCACAGACATTAACGTTTTCTAAAATTACTTAATGTGAAGAAAGTATTTTTTTCCAAGATCAATAGCAAAAAGCTGATAAAATGTAAATGGCCAGGCATGGGTGTTTCTTGAAAGATCTCAGCATGATGTCTCTAATGACCTTAGGGTAACACAACTGCTCAGTTTTCCATCATAGTTCTTTCCCCTCAAGAACGCAAGAGGTACCACTTTTGATCCACAAGGAGATATCAGAGTGGATCTGCTGAAATACACTACCCGGAGAGCTGCTGGTTTGTATTATATGTGCAGGGGGGAATTCTTCAAAGTGTTTTAATGTGACCCTGCCACCCCCAACTCTGGTGACAAGTTGCTCCCCAGTGTGAAGCGGACTGGAAGTTGCAAGAAGGTTATAAGCAAGCAGGGCAGCCATGGCTAGGGCTGCGGCATATGGAAAACATACAGTGTTTTTTCCAGCATAAACTAAGATATTTTTTCATAAAACTTGTTTTTATATCAGCAAATATGTATCAGGAAACCAGCTTAAACCTTAAACCTAGATCTAGAGGGTGAATTAGTGCTTGCCCAGAGAAGTCTTTATTCCTTATTACTCTGCAAGGAAGTCGACTTCAACTCCACTCACCAGGGACCACCACTAGAGAGGTGAATTAGTCATTCTTCCCGCTGATCCACGCCAGGAAAATTTGGGCTATCAGAAACACTGGGAGCAGTTGCTCCAGTCAGCATTTAGACCTTGATTCAGAAAGGTTCTTAAGCATGGGACTAACTTTAAGCAAATGAGTACTCCCCCTGACCTCAGTGGTATTACTCCCACGCTTAAAGTTAGGCGTGTAGTTAAGTAATTTACTGAAGCAGGGCCTTAGACGCCAAGTTGATAGGCACTGTGGGTAATATTTTCAAAGGCACTTAGGTGCCACTTAGGTGTTTTTGAAAATGGGATTTAGGAGCCTAAAGTACTTAGGCACATTAAAAACATATTAGTCTTTGTAAACACCTTGGATTAGAATCCAAATTTAGGGGAATGGAGTTGAATTATTTGATAAATTGTTCCTCCTTCCTGGAACATTCTATTAGGACTTTAGTAATGTGTAGGTCAAGATTATGGTAGGCAAACCACTGCTCAAAGCAGGGATGCACCACCCTCACTGGAGATCATGGAGGCATTGTGCCTGCCTGCTACACTCTTCCAAAGGGTGCACAGTGTCCTCCCCTCTCTTCCCTGCACACGAGGTCATCTCTGCTGGCTGGTGCAGAGAAGAGCGATGGCCATGTCCCCAATTTTGTTTTTCCACACTTCTTTGGGAGGTTAGCACCAGTAGTGGCATTAGCTTCACACAGTCCTTTTGCCCTCTTTTCCCTTTGTCCCCTTGTTAGTCACAATCTAGCCCTACATTTTAAAAAACATTATAATAATAATGGCAGGATGAATAATGCAGCATAATTATATATACAGAACACAGATTTTTGTTTATTGCAGCTAGACTGCTCATGGGACAGCATATATCTCAAGGAGACAAAGCTGCATGGGGTCCAAATTGGTTTTATCATGAATATCACCATAGAAGAACTCAGAAAAAAATGGCACATAGTAGGCTCAATCTATCACGGCTACAATGCAAGCCTCAGCAAAGCTATCTTTAAAAAAAATGATTAAATCTAAAACTAGAATTTCAGGCCCCTGGTAAACAACCCTTACACTTTCCCCCAAGATCCTTCTCCCACTTGTGCAGCAGAACCAGTGCGGTTCCACTGTATTTGTGGCCCTGCACTTTCATCGAGATGAAGGCTGGATCTGGCCCTTCATGTCTATATTGTAGAGAGATTTTAAAACTTACCTATAGAACACAAAGTAGTAACAATACATAGCACTGACTGGAAAGATCACTTTTCATCTTCAAAGTGCCTTTTCAGCATTAACTAAAGAATTCTCACTATCCTAGTGAGTTAAGTAAATATTATTAGCTCAGTTTTATTGAATGGGAAAGTAAAGCAGAGAGGCCAAATCTGGTTTAAAAAAAGCAGAGCACGTAGTTTCGTGTAGCAGCATTTCCGGCATCCCACAATGTTGTACAATGAGTTACCTACTGGTACCGCACTGAGTCTACAGGTGTGGAAGTATTTAATGCAAAGACTCAGGCACACAAGTAATAAATATTATTTCAATTTAAATTTAAATCCTCAGCTGGTGTAAATCAGGGCAGCTCCATTGTCCACAGGAATTATTTAGTTGGGGATTGGTCCTGCTTTGAGCAGAGGGTTGGACTAGATGACCTCCTGAGGTCCCTTCCTGATATTCTATGATTCTATGATTCTAGGACCCACTATTCAGCAGAAATCACTGGAGCTATACTGACATACACCAGCTAAAGGCGTGGCCCAGAATTCCTAATTGTATCTTGCCCAGGACTCACCGTTTCTGTCAATGGCAAAAGGAACATCGGTTGTGACAATTTCATAATTGCATATCTGGCTGTACTGCGGAGAACAGTCCTCATCTATGGCTTCCACCTGCAATATACTGTCATAGATCTTTCCCTCTGTCACTGTGGCCTTATACGAGGTCTCCTTGAAGGTAGGTGCGAACTCATTAACATCCTTCACCTGGATATGGACCACTGCCCTAAAAATATAGAAACAAAGAATTTGGAGAGAGATATCCATTCATCTTGACTTCAACTGAGATGTCAATATCTGTTCATTATTCAAACACATGACAGATTAACACCAAAGATGGCATGGAAAATAAAAACCTATGTACTGTGAGTAAAGTGCTCTTGTATCATTTTACTTTGTGTTTCATTTCCATTTTTAATTTGCACTACTTAATACTTTAATATGACATTTCTGTTAAGAAAATGTGCAACAAAGTTATCATGGGGAAAGTCTAATTCTCCTCTTGCTTAACACCAGTCAATGGAATCAGTCAATGGAGTGAATCCTTTGTAAAAAAGAAAAAAAAAAAGGGCATAAGAGGAGAATCAGGCTTAAAATGCTCTCTTAGACACGGATTGCCTGAAAATATAGATATCTTGAAAAATCCCCGTTACTAAGTAAGCACCTTCCTTCCTTTCCAGGGCAGAAGTTAATTGTTTATCCACTCTCTAAGTCCCTAAAATACTGCAGATTCCATGTTCATTTCCCCAGTTTCTTACATGACAATTAGAGCTTGTGAAAGGTGCTGCATTGAGAGCAATAAGCGCTGAATTCATCTACAGTATTTAAAAACAAGTCATACATGGGCACTGGCAGGGACATCTTTCTCTTAATGCCATGTGACTGCGCCTGAGCCTTGTTCTGGAAGGCAGTGTGCCTCAACCCTCCTCAGAAGGGCTCAGCTCTAGAGATTGGGAGAGTAGTTCAAGCTCCACGTTGATTCAGTGCTTAGCTGCTCCAGTGACTGACAATTATACAGTGCACTGTCAGCAAATGTGATGCTGGATTGTTGTGTGATGTGGATATCTGTTATTAGCACCTGAATTGGGAGCACCAACTCATTTCACATATAGCTAGCCACTAATCAACCATCTTCATGATTATTACTTAAATTAGAGTAGACTGTAGCAGGCCCAGCCAAGAGCACACCCCCTTTGTGACAAGCACTTGACACATACGAGACAGTTCCTGCTGAAAGAGCCTACAATCTGAATAGACAAGTGATGGAAAGGATAAAAGAGGGATAGAGTGGTGAAGTGACTTGCCCAAACTTATACAGTAGGTCAATGGCAGAGGCAAGAACAGAACCCCAGCTTCAGTTCAGTGCTCAATCCAGTACACCACACTGCCCTAGTCACAACTAACCAGACTTGGTTTTGATCACAGCCAGACCACAAAGTCCCCAAGTCTAATAACTGCTAGACTGCTACTGAAGTTTGAAAGAGAGACCATAGCATTTCATATGAAACTCCCAAAATTGTTACAGTGAAAAAATTAACTGTGAGTTGAAACTTGTTCAATTTGAAGGTTGTGCCTTAAGAAAAACATTATTAAAAAAAACCACAACCCCCCCCCCCAAAAAACAGATCATGATGCAGCTCACATTATATTGTAAAATAAATTCTTAAATTCCTGTGCATCTGATCTAAACAAAAGGGTGCATTGCAGCTATTGCTGGGTTTGTTTAAATGGCTCATACAGTAAATTGGGCAGTTTATATGGCAATTTTATTGTCTGTACCAGGGCAAATTTCATCTTTAGTGACAAGTGGTTTCATGTATCATACAAAAGGCAGCACCATATCTGGGGCATTGGTTCTATATTGTCTCAGTAAAGAGTGCCACCTACTGACCCACCAACAACACTTCTTGCAGCCTCTGAATCTTTGGAAGATTCCCACCAAATGCTGAACCAGCCAAGTCTGCTGAGCTTCCAGGGGCTAATAAAATCTCAGTGCAAAGGCAATAAAGCTGCAGCATATAAATGAAAATAAAAATGGGTGATTCCCCCCCCCCCAATAGCTTTTCTGTACCATTTGAAATTGTCTGAATAAAGTTAGAGAAAAAATAAATTCAGCATAGTTTGGTTACATAAATATCAGTTAATTCTAGTTTCCAAGGCTCTGATTATCTGATTTAGCTGATCTGTTTAATGTGGGAAAATATTTAGTATGGAAAAAATAATTAAAAACCATTATTTTACTGTAGTCCATTTGATCAGTAGTTCTGTTAAAACAGTTCCATTGAAATTACTGAAAATCAGGTCAATTGGAGTGAAATGTTTATATATATATATATATACATATAAATATAAAGACACCAACAATGAACAATCAATTCCAGTGATAAAGCATTTTGTTTCCATTTGCTTCCCACAGACTATAGCATTAAAAGAATCTCTTTCATCTGAACTGCATCTTGGAGTAAATACATGCCACAGCCAATGCATTTTTCCCCTTATTGTCACTCACTTGTGAGATTTCTTCCAGTTTGTTCCACTAGGTCCTGCTCCACAGTCGTATGCCTGGATGATGAATGTGTACTCCTTCTGCAGTTCACAGTCAATTGGACTTTTTGCTCGGAGACGACCTTCTCCAGATGTCTTGTTTAGCACGACAGCTTCAAAGGGCATTTCCTGACCATGGATTTTAAAAGCACAGATCTCGCCTGTAAAGAATAAAACACAGGAAAAAATTATTGTTGGTTAGAACTGATTCAGACATGTTTGAGTGACACCTGATGTGCTGGCAACCACCTGTATTTCACAACCTGTGACAGATAAGTGACGTGGACTATTCGCTGAACAACATACCAACACAAACTACCAGCTGAAATAAACAGAACCTTATGTAAATGAGCGAGAGGTAAAGGGACAGTCAGAAGGAAAAATAGAGAAAGTCTTTATACTAGGTCTCATCCTCTTTACATTGTTATTCTTTCTTCTGACACCAGCATTGCCTCTGTGCCAAGTGGTAGCATGTTGATTTCACCAAATTGTTTTGGTTGGGGGGAGGGAATCAAGGAAAACAAAAACCAAAGATTTTGTTTTGAAAATTTTTCCAATTTTATTTAAAAATTTAAAATGTTAAAAAATTCAAAATTGACATGAAATGTTTTGTTTCAGGTCAAACAAAATGTGTTGCTTGACCCAAAGTGACTTTTTTTTAAACTGCCAGTGAACTGAAAAATGTGCACTGCTCTACTCTCAGTACATTCTAAGTGTAACTTGTTCTATTTACACATATATACCAGTTCTGGAACAGAGGCAGTCACCTCTTTCCAAAATCTCAGCACTCACCCAAACACCTTATTCCCAGGAAACTATTCTGTCCCAAGAATTACATCCAAATATAGAGAATAAGAAGAGAACCAACTCTGTGCTATTTTCCACAGCTTCTCTCAAAGAACTACTCTATAACAAAACTGACAAAACAGCAAAGACTGCTTGCTTACTAACAAAAAATTGCAAGAATATATGTAAGAGCGCCATCTAGTGACTCTTCCTATAACATTTTTTAAACACACTTTTAATTAATGGCAAGTAGGCCACACTTCGCCCCTTTCACAGATGGTCTATAGCTTCAACTTCTGTCTTCACAAACATGCTGCAGCTTTAGAGTGTAATCATTACACTTCACCTCTGTAGGTAGGAAAAGGAAATAAGAAAATGTGGAGGCTATTAAGCATTGTAGGGGAGCGTGTATGGCACTGTGAATTTCTCTACAGGATCAGCACGAGTTATTTAGCATAGGTGTTTCCGTACCTATGGCACAGCAGGAGAATACATACAATCCATGTTTAGTTGGGGTCAGTGGCTCCACCACCTTACACAATAGCATGGAAGGGAGGCAACTTCCATGCTAGTACATAGGCTGGAATGGTGGCTGCGGGTAGCCTGCACATCTCTCATGGCCCTGGGCTGAACATAGGATTTCACCTTCCCAGACTCTGCTTGCTCCGCCTGCAAAAAACCTGAACGTTAGGGGTTTATGCAGGTGGATTTCACTAGAGAGTCAAATCCCCAAAGGGGCTAAATATCTGCATTTCGGTGTATTACTGTGGGTGCTCTGCAATACCCAGGATCAGGCCCATTGCTGTGTATGAACTGTAATGGTATGAATAAAGGGGTGAAATTAATAAGATGCCAAGGATGATGAAGCTTGCTGATCGCTGATCATGGATGTTGATCACTGTGAATATATACTAGACATCAACTGAATGCCATGTTCAGCTCTGAGCAGATAATTTTCACTCAATGCATCTGAAAAAGCGGGGGTTTTTACCCACAAAAAACTTATGCCCAAATAAATCTATTAGTCTTTAAGGTGCTACCAGACTTACATGGCTACCCCTCTGATCTCTGAGCAGAGTGTTCTCCTTATTTCCTTGCAGCAAAAAAATTTGAAATAATACTGTGGGCTTTGATTTTAATTTAATGCCTTTTCTGATACATCTAAGTAATATTGTTATATTACAACTGGAAGTTTAATGGAGAAATATTATTCACTGCATTCTGTAACAATGGCATTCCCACAGTTCTTAATAGTAAAGTTTCCCCACAGATGTACAGTCCATCAATACAAATCATAACTTTAGGTTTTTGTGGTTATTACTATATTGATTTAATTTGATTATGAACAATACAACATTTTTTAGTCATCTGATTCTGGCATTTTAAAAAATAAAATAAAAATAGTTTATTGCAGCAAAGAAGAGAATTAGCTGAATCACACACACACACGTTTGCCAGGGTCAAACCTGAGTGATGCTGTGACCACTTGCACCAGGGTGCAATGCTGCTCGCTCAAATTTGGCCCAGCGGCCCCTTCACCATGCTGGAAGGGCAGTCAGGCCAAACCTGAGCAACCCCATGTACCAGAGCATATATTTGCCTAGAGTCCAGGGATGGATTAATCTGGCCCTGTTTGTGATTATCCTGTTTTCCTTTCATTTCCTCATTGCGTTGTACAAGCAATTCTCTACAAAGGGAGAGGTTGACTTTGGTACCTGGGTTGGTCTTACAGAGACCCATGGGAAGGTTGGAAAGACAGGAACAAATCCTTGTACAGAGATTCACATAGGGCATCCACATGGCACATACTAGTGTAGGCTTAGGAGGAGCTCCTAGTGAGAGCAGGTGTTACTCTTTCTTCCATGCCAGCAATTTGAAGTTTTCCCTCCCCATCCTTCCCTAGGCATGCCTGAAAAGGGGACCTTTGTCCTGGACCCCTAAGTAAAGATATGCTTTAAATTTTGTGGGACAACTGCTTTCACAACTCTGGCATCATTCAGACTTATCCTCACTCATAGGCTTAAGGTGAAACTGATCACCAATGAAGGGGCTGAGGATATGATTCCCTCATCCCACCCCTACAAGAAATATTAGTCAAGGTAATGAACTTTCATTTTGGTTGGGGTTTTTTGCCTTCCTTCAAAACATCCTGCAATATGATCTGAAGGGACCAGAAGGGTAAAGGTCTGCTTTCCACAGACTTTAGAGAGGGGATGAAGGTGGTGCTATCAAAAAAAAGGCATTTGCCCCATTTAGGATAAGTTCCTTTTTATGGTGCCTTTCCGCTCCAAAGCTTGGGCATTTGTTGATAGGTGGAAGTATCTTGCTGTAGAAGTTGGTTGTAATGAATGCCCATAACATAGGCATGAGAACAGATATACTGAGGATGCTGTGTGGAGGGAGTGGTGGTTGAAATAGGGCATGGAGAAGGGTCTTACTATACAAAGGTACAGAGACCCCCTTGGGAAAAAAACATTCTTCCACAATATTGATATGGCTTGGGAATTGCCTCTTGGGGACCCTCTTGGGTTTATGAGTACTTGCTACAGCATTAGCTATTGACTACATGGTTACATCTCAGTCTGCATTCCTGTAATTCAATAAAAGTTATAGCCTTTGACATTAATCTTTTTATGAGTGTTGTGTTCTCTCTGCACATCATCCAGATTGGATTCAGCAATATACACTTACAAATTTTGAGACCTACGTTACTTAAAGTGTAAACTTTGGTAGAGATCTGTGGATTACTACTGTAGGGCAATCAATCATATCATTTCCCATTTAGGTTATACTGAACTGAAAAACAGTATTGGTAACTCTCCATTCTTGGTGTATAATTAACAAATCTCCTCAACACTTTGCAATTCTTATGAAAACAAAATCTGATATTCAGCAACCTCTACATGCAACGCTTAGGATGTCAATTATTGCTGAAAATCAACCAGACTGGGCTAAAAGTGACTCCCATTTCAATGAACTGGCACTGATTTTAGTGGCAGAGGATCAAGCCCCTCCCTCATTTAATCTACAAACTCAATTGTTGGACTTGCATTGACAGCTACAGAGAGGAAGCTACTTTAGTTTATAAATACAAAGGAAAACAATTTAATGAATTTCAGAAGGAGCCAACAGATGAAAAGGTGTTTTTTCCCCCTGCTTACAGATGACCCTTTATGCTATCTTTACTTTTTCTTCAATTGACACTAACACCAAAGATGATGTGTCTCTAGCCTCACACAAAAGGAGTGATATAAAAAGGTCGTTCAGTCCTCATGCCCATTCATCTGTTAGTGCCTGTTCAGGCTTATATATGGGCTCCAACTGGAACAATATTTTTTGCTTACATGGAACTTTTAAGAACTAGATTGAGCAGATGGATTAAGATTAATCATGTCACATAGGGTATTTGAAAGCCTTCAGTATCTACTTTTAGTTATTACCATCCTGGGCTGAACTCAAAAAAGGGTCCTAGAAGTAAAAAAGGTTTGTTATTTTTTATCCCTTTACCCATCACCTGAGCCATTTAGTCCTCCAAGACTTTTAGAAAGGTGCATTCTAAATTGGCTAGTAGATATGATTCTGCTCTCAGCATAAATCAGGGATGGCTCCACTGAAGTTAATTAAAAGTATACCAGTGTAAAAGGGGGATAGATCAGAATCAGGTTCTATATCCCTTTTTAACCTATTGCACACACTCTGTCTATATACATTGATTTAGATACACTGCGTGCGCGTGCGCGCGCGCGCGCACACACACACACAAAGTATGCAAGCAAACAACACCGTTAGTACTGTATGATTAACTCAGTACCCACTTTCTCAGTAATCCAGCATGGAGCCACTGTAAATAGATGTTGTTGGTTTTAAAAGTTTTTAAAAATTGAAACCTTCCAGTGTAATAAACTGCAGGAAAGTGTGAGAGCTTGAATTCTGCAAACATCTCCTGCAGTGCACAGTTCTGTGTTCTTGGGAGTTTCTCAGTGGCAGTGGAAAGGCTTATTGCCATGACATGTTTTTCTGCTGTGCTATCGCTTAAACAATTACAAGCTATTTTTTTAAAGCAAAAATAATAATTTGTATTACTGAAGTGAGAGATGTGGAATAATTTTAGACCTGCAGAAAAGGTTGTTGCTAGCAGTAGTACTTGTACTGTGTATGCCTTTCTAGCTCAGTGAACTCAACATTATTGAAGCTTGGCGAACTACTACAACTTAGCAAGCTATACTGAAAACATAAAGGAAGCAGCGGATTGCTTAATAAAATATAGTAATTATGCTGATTATGTTTAATTTTTTGAGCAACAAACTCAGCCAACTGGAGTTCAAAACTACTGCCATGCCGACTGCTGTATTCACTTACTCTTCAAAAGGTGAAC